ATACTGCTGCTCTGCCCCCCACGCCGACCGGCACAAACAGAACCGGAGCCTCCCTGGGGGCTGCCGTGCCCCAGGGCAACGCAGCCACCTTTGTCTTGCCTTCTCCTCCCTGTCTCCTGCTCCCTGGCAGGTGATGGGGCGAAAGCCAGTAATTGCTCTAAGTGCGATCAATAAGTCACAGTAATAGAATTACATTTGCTGTTGCCATATTAGGAACCGCTTTTCTGCTCTCTCCTCTCGCCACTCTCCCTTGTTTTGTTTTTAAACCACTGCAGAGCACGGGAACAAGTGAGGCTCCTCTGGGCTCCTGAGGTGGCTCCATTGGGGACCCAGCTCTGGGTGCATGTCCCCGTGGGCTGGGGGTCAGCCCCAGGGAAGGAGCCGGATCCTTGGGAAGGTCATGGGCGTTTTACCCCACACCACGCGCAGGCACCCCCCAGCATGGGGATGGGACCCACTGCCCCGGCGCAGAGCAGCAGCGCATTTGCCTGCAGCCCTGGGGAGATAGCGCCGCTCTCCGCTCCTGCGCAAGTCCCTGGGGGCTGGGGGGTTATTTTCATCTCTTTTGCAGCTGGTCTCAGGCTCTGGAGAGTCAGCTTCACCTCAAGGGCTTTCCTCCGGCTGCTTTTAATCATTACTTAAAGGAAAGTCTCTGCAAATAAAGACTGGATCGCAGCCTCAGGCTCTCCGTGGGCAGGGGAGAGCCCCACAGCATCTCATCACCCCACTGCCCTGCGGGGCAGTGTCCTGCCCCACCACCAGATCCCTCCTGTCATGGTTTCAGCTGGGATGGGGCTGACTTCCTCGCTAGCAGCCGGTGTAGTGCTGCGGTTTAGATTTGGGATGAGAATGGTGTTGGTAAAACACTGATGGTTTTGGTTGTTGCTAAGCAGTCAACGCCTTTTCTACTCCTCACAGTGCCCCACCAGCGAGCAGGCCAGGGGGGCACAAGAATGACCGCTGACAGTTTCTGTGTCCTGCTTGGTCCGTGCCGCCAGGAGCGCCATCACAGAGGATGCAGAGCCTCGGCCAACTCTCCTCACAGCCGCTTGGGTCTGCCATCCCCGGCGGTGC